TCTCTCTCTCTCTCTCTCTCTCTCTCTCTCTCTCTCTTTCTCTCTCTCTCTCTCTCTCTCTCTCTCTCTGTCCGGTACTAGCCTGCGAAGGTGGTGCCTTGTTGCAGGTACATCGAAGACGAAGCTGGAGCTGTAGCGCCACAGGTAAGTCTCTCTGGCCTCCGCCAACCATCTCTCTCTCTCCAACACTACTCTAGCTCCTAGTAGCGCCCAACGCTGAAGACTACTTCTAACGCTACTACTACTATTGCAGCGCTGTCACAAACGGTTTTCTGCAACCACGCGATTTTGTGTGCAAGGCTACTTCGGGGGTTGACTCGGAGTGGGGAGGGTCCGCGGGATTACATGGGCGCCCTTGCTTTTTTTTTTTTTCGAAATCAAGGTCGGGAAAATCTTGTGACGATTGGTAGCTGGTCGCGCCTTAGCGAGCACGAAAGATAACTATTGTCATAGCTTCTTTCTTGTTCTGCTGTGGGAAATGAGAATTTTGGCGCGGTCGTCGCGCGGAAAAATCTTTCTGAATTTTCAATTGAGGTCGAGCCCCCATGGGCTGTTAGGATTTGCTTCGTTCGAAATTTCTTTTTGCAATTAGGATTTAGATCAGGAATTTATGCGCGTCTGAGTTTTTGTTGCGCAGCGCTTCTTGCTTGCGCACGCTTTGTCGCGATAGGATCTATGTTCTGACTTTTCTCGCCTTAATCCTTGCGCATAAGTATGACTTCTGTTTTGGCGGGCATAATTGCAACTGTAATCCTCTTGTTCTTGATATCTTTGTGGTGTCCCAGTGCGCTCGTACTTCTTCCTTTATCCTAATTGGCCAGAACACTTGCATGTATGGATCGATGTGTGGAGTGAGGCTAAGTCCCCCAATCCGCGGTCTGCCCATGCAGACATAGGCACTTTGTTCCTCCTCCTTCCTTGTCCATTTAGGCACAACCCCGGGTATCTCGAGCAAGCATGCATGATATAAATTTCGCAAACGCGATTAACTCGCTCTCTAAAAATTCTGGGAGTTAGCACGGTCGAGAGGATCGGCTTACGAGCGAGATTTGGAAGGTGAGTAGAGAGTTAGGCGATCCGACGAGCTGGTGCTGGGCAGTGGGCATGCGTGGTTGACGTGGGGTCGAGAACGGAGTGTGACACATGGGCGAACCTGGCTGGCATGCTCGGACTAAGCGGGCTGACAAGTCTGTGTGGGTATGAGGCGACGGACTGCCTGCATCGGGATGCTGTGAAGAGAGAGAGAGAGAGAGAGAGAGAGAGAGAGAGAGAGAGAGAGAGAGAGAGAGAGAGAGAGAGACGGGATGTGTTGTGGTGATGTTCTTCGTGTATCCCTTTGAGTAATTTTGGTATCTTGCATAGAAGCAGACTTCGACCCGCACCTATCCTCTTGCATTCCTATCCCTGAAACTTGCAACAGGAGATCTCAGTACCGACCTGGGACTCCACCCCCACTCTACTAAAATCCTTGGCACACCCCCTTTTTGCACTTCCCGGCCCACTCACTCTCCGATCCGGAAGTCGCGTCGGGCATGAGGTTGGGCGTCACAACGCTCCTCCAAAGTGTTGTTGTTGAATCCCGAAGACTGCCTCCTGCCTCCTCCACGTGAAGGGTCTGGGAAGTCCCTATAAACTACCTCGTAACTCCCTGCAACCTGTAGGGCGGGCCAGTCTTATATATTGCTGGCCCATCCAGGAGGCTGCTCTTGCCAATGCCAAGACATGCCAGATCCTGGCGACAAGGACACAACCGTCGTAGTAGATCGCACCGTTCCCAAGACCCTCATGACTATCGACTCTCTCCGCAGTCAGGTCTCATTCTATATCATGCACTTGATGTGCGACATCGTCTTGGGAACCCCATGGCTCAATTGTTTCATGCCCTACTCCTATGTGTCCCCCCGTACGAATACGGGGAATACGTA